AATGAAAATATCGGTCCTTTTCCTCATTGCAGAAGAAAAAATAATTTTGTGCAATGAGGAAAAAGCCCGATCTCTTCATTTCCATGATCATCTCCTCGAGTGTCAACTTCTTCAAATAATATTTTTATATTTTTTATTATTATTATTATTATTATTTTTTATTTTTTATTTTTCACTCTCAAAAATTCTTTTACCTTACAGATATCTGATCAGAATAGTGTTTAAAACTAAAATTTAAAGTTAAATTTAGTAAAGGTTAGTTTATATCATAAACTATTTTGAACTTAAAAGCAATTGAAAGCTTAAAAAAAAATGTAAAATGTGAAATGGTGTAACTATTGCCATAAGATATTTAAATTTAATTAATTGTAGAAGTTGAATTGGAAATAAAGAATAAATTATATTGATGGGTGTAAAATCCAGAATCTTCTTTGCACGATCAGCAATTGGAAAAACGAAACACGAAACCTTCACTTCTGACTGAGATCGCATCGTGGCCCAGTTGAAAGTGGGTTCGTGAACAATTTTTTTGTCTGAAACGACATTGAAGATAGCGCTGCGTTTTGTTGCTGTGTGTGTGTTAGGCAGATTGGTATCTTGAATGTGCTGTGTGTGCAGAGGCGCAGGGAATCGGCCCGGAATTTATCTCGCACTCGCCAGCTGATGCGATTCCGTGCCGCTGATTTCGCATCTCATTTCCCATTTCACCTGGGGCGTCGTCAGAAAATCGCCGGTCGGCCCCCAGTTTATCTCCGCGGCAATTTCCTCACGCCTCGCACGAAATCGGACCGACATTATTAATATAAAATTTAATTGCCGCTCATGATCTGCTCTCGTTCGGGTCGAAATTTCGAGCGAGGCTAAATGCAGAGAAATTGCATGTGCGTGTCGCGTCGGTGCTGGGAATTCAAAATCGTTACATTGGAATTAGCAGAGAATTTTACTGCCGCGTTGAGAAAAAGGAGGAAATAAACTTGGAGAGGATAAAAGATAAATATAAAGTTCCTTATGATAAAAATTTAGCCGTTTTCTGAGCTATATTATTTTGTTCTATTTGTTTAGTGCGCAAAGATGTTTTTATTTAACCCTGCAGCACTTACGGAAAATAAATATGAAGATAAAACTTTTCGGCCGGGAGTGTTTTATACAAAGTTGGCTGCAGAATGTTTGCTTTAACGGCCGGCCATTCATATTTAAAGCACATTCTCGCGCCTCTCTTGTTGGAATTGGGCAAAAGTTCGGGGGCATTATTTTATGACGGGCTAAGTGCGTCTGCACGATAAACAAAGTTTTGTTCCCAATCGACGCGTTATCGATTCTCGCCTGCAAGACTATTATAGGGAACGGCCAACTTTTTTACAGCCAAACTTTTCTATAATGAGCTCCTCCAAAATGTTTTGTGCATGTACACATGAAGCACGTCCACAACCCTATAAGAGAATAGGAATCAAATTAGAATGAACAATTAAAAATTAAACCCATTAAATTGCATACAATCTGATTATATTTGTTAAAAGAAAATAATCTCAATTTTCCTATATTTTCTTGTTTTTATTATTCATGTTTCCACAAAGAAACGAATTTACATGACAAATGTTCAAATAAAGGTTCCAACGAGGAAAATGTACAAAAGGAAATGAGTTTTTCTTGCCAAGCAATCTGTCAAGCGATGGTTGCTGTACGAAAATGTTCAAATTTCACCCTTTGAGGCTGCACAGGAAATTCATGTTGCCGAGGCCCAACCTGTTCGGCTCGATATATTGATCCGAGAGTGGCGGTGGGTAAATAGCAGCAGCAGCAGCGAGACTCAATATTGACACATCCTGTTAACGCGCCCTGCCATATTTGGACCTGTCAAGCGACGTGATACGTCTGCTGTCACTCGCGACTGCACAAGACCAGACGGCGCAAATAATAAATTTCGGGCGGAATAATAAATATCAATGAGGGGACCAGCAATTTTTAGTTTTCTAGTCAAGCACGAGAGCAAGATGAATGAAAAAAGTATTTGGACGCCAAAATATGAATCAAATTAAACTTTAATGTAAGCAACGAACTGATTATTTATCAAAGGCACACAAAACTGTAGAATTGGAAATAAAATATATAGCAAAGTTATCTTCTAATAATTTAATATTTTAAAATAATTGATTTTAAAGCTAAAAACTAAAAATTTAAACTTCATTATGAAGAAATGTAAACTAAAATTATATTTGAATTGAATTTATTAAAAATTCGTAAATTGAATTTTATTTTCCCCCTGATCAAGTCAGAAAGGCAACCAACTTGATCTTCTACGAATTTTCTGCTCCAACTTTCCGCAAAAACGTTCATTTCTAAAGAGCAAGATTTAAATGCTTTTTGTCATTGCAATTCTGCGCCGCCGGGCAGGACGTTATATATATATTAAAGGAAATCGCATAATTGCGCGCGTTTAGTTGCGCGCACGGCAATATCTCCGCCGAGAGTAATTGGATTTGCTTTATATTTGCACACAGCGAGAGCGCAAGAGAAATAATTTTGCTTGCGCCATCCCGTGCTCTTTGTTACGTACCCTGTGCATTGCAATTTCCATGAGCACAGGGTGTTTAATTTTCTGAAAAGCGTCGTCACCGTGTTTCGCAACTATTGCTTGAGTTTCGCAAAAGAAAATACTCGCTCGTGACTATTCCCAAGAGCCATATTTAAAGGCTGACAGCTTTATATAAATTGCTACTTTTTATAACAATAAATCAGTTTAATCAGTATTCAACGTTTGTAAAATTTATAATATAAACAGGTTAAAAAAATCCTACAAAAAAGATTTTCGTCTCTCATAGTTGAAATCATTGTCATGCAATTTAAATATATTTAAAATTGTAGCGAAAAAGTTTTAAAATTATCTGATAGTAAAATTGATGTATTCAACAACAAAATTATTTTAAATGAAATCAAATCAAATTAAAAAAAATAAATATCTAAAATTAAAATTGATGTATTCTACAAAACACTACAAAAATAAATGATTTTAAATAAAATTAAATTAAATAAAAAAAATAAATATAAATAAGGGTCAAAATTTTATTTTATTGATTTTTTATAAGTTCATAATTTGCTTATAATTATTGTAATTTTTAAATTAAACTGTTTAATGTCAACGCTCAAAAACATCAACTTATTGAATCATTTTCAGAAGTTTTTCTTACTAATTTAATCTGTATTTTAATCCCATTCAGATCAAAATGTGAAATATCATATAAATGAAATCATTGCAAATTTAATCGCTTTCTTTTTAGTTCATTTACTACAGCTCCATTATGGGACATTATATTTAGAGCTATCAATTCAAATTGGTGCTATAATAAGTTCTTATCTTCACTTCCACTCGGCAACTGGGCAATAGTCCCAGATAAATTTGCTATCAAAATGAATCATTCCAGAGAGAAAAAATTAACAGCATCCGGCAGAACTGGCAAAACGAAGCTCAATCTTAGTCGTCCCACGCGCATTAAACGGAAAACTGAAGTTTATATCAAATCAAATTTCCTCTTCCTGTCGATCGTTTCCGAGGTATGCACCACGCAGAGGCCGCGCGTCGGGCGGGTGGCCTACGCACGTCTCGCTCGGGCTAAACAGCAGCTAGACCTGCGGATGGGATCGAGTGGCATTCGGCGAACGAGCGGCGGCGCACCTGCCCGCGTGTATCGGTTTTCCATCAGTCAGTCGGGAGGCATGCGGGCCGCGAACACATGTCACTCGCGCCACCTCCTGCATATCAATCAGCGACTGCACATCCACCGCAGACCCAAAGACTCGATTAGCGAACACAACTGCATCAATTCTATTATTGCACGATTTGTAATAATACAAATAATGTACAATATTTAAAAGCACTAAATTAAAAGTATATTTAACAGCAGAAAAAAATGGTGATGTATTAGTATATAACTGAAGTTAATTACAATTTAATTAATATATTTATAAAATTTATAATTTCTTTACATGAAATAGGATTTTATTTATTAAAAATCAAGAAAATCGATATAATTACAATAAAATTTCTTGATTCAACTTGTAAATATTAAAAATTATTTTCAAAGGAAAACACAAGAGTGGAATATATTAAATAATTATAATCATGAACCTCATATAACTATTCAATTTGTTTATTTATTATGATTACTGTCTATTTTGCTCAGGAAATCGTTTTATGTTAAATAAAATAATTTTATAAATCATCGTTATAATACGAAACTTATATAATGGAAATGCATCTCCTCGAGTGTCAACTTCTTCAAACAAACTTATATAATAATTATCTTTTTCCGTCATTTCTTATAATATTTCAGATCGTTTAATTTCTTCATAAGAATCTGCTATTGAGCATTTCCATTGCAAAATAAATTAGTGTTAATTAAAACTCGGCGTACAGGTGCCTCTTCCCTGCCGCTCAAGCAGCTCTTTGCTCATTACCAAGTGCTCGTGCTGTTTATCTGAAATAAGCAATTTGACTCACTATGCTGATACTTATTAGCCGCGCGTATATAAATTGGAATTAAAGGAGCTGCCTGGTTAGGACGGAGGCGTATTTGCCTTGAAACTAGAAGACGCACTTGAGAAAGACTGAGCGCAATCAGACAAGAGCTGTTGGCGTGCACAGGCCGGATTATGCGCCAAGTCGATATTCCGGGAAAGTCTCCGACTCCCAAGAGAGGCAGAATTAGTTGACTTGTAATCTGAAATTGCCGGAAATGTTATTACACTGACAATTTCCATGAAAATTATTATACCGTCAAGAGCTATTCAGAGATCTTTACTTTTCACTTTCCTACATCGAAACAGAAATTTCTTTTAGTACTAGAAAAAAATAATGACCAAATCTATTTGGTTTAAAATTATACGTTAACAATTCAAAAAAAGAATACTTTTTTTAGACCAAGCTGTGTACATAGGAAGAAATAATTCATGTTGTGCTTTTACTTGTCAGCACACAAAAATAAAACAATTACATTTTTGTATGCCCTGCCGGAAAGTGAACCATGATTATATTTGCGGCGTGCTTGTTTTTCCCAGCCGCGCTCTGCAGCGACAAGGCAGCGCAGCATGCACGATTTGTGAATAATTCAGCGTGCACTCTGTTGTACACAAATGTATAATGCATTCGGCGGCCAATTCATTCACCTGCCCATGGGGCTCTTTCGCTGCACGACACGCGAAAGGAACATTGGCGGCGCCGCTCTGGGGATTGGGAAACTTTTCAGCAGTTCTCCGAAAAATTTGTTGTTAATGTTTATCGACAAAATTTTCATACAATAGAAACCAAACACAAGAGTTTATAGTGTGGCAATCGCAGTGGAAGAGTTACGGAAGTGTGTCATCGGTTAGTAGGTGGAAGTGACAGTGGAACACATTAAAAATGCGAGAGAAAAATTTTGAATAAAATTATACTATCAAAACAAAGTCAAACAGAATTAGAACATTATAAACTGCTGTATAATGATGGAAAAAAGCTGCAGTGTATAATAAATTAAAATAACGATAAATTTGAATAATAAGACAAGTATTGAAAATAATTAATAATTAAAAAAAGCTTTGTTTCAGGAAGTGCGTCATTCATTTTGGAACAGCACAGCGAACAGCATCAAATTCAGGTGACATGGTTAGAGCAACATGGAATGGACGCAGCCCATTTTGCTTTGGATCCTTTTGCTACTGGTTACAGTTCGTGAAAAAATATTATTATTTTTAAAGATTTAGATCTGCCTTGTAACTGAAACTTAATTTTATTGATTTTCTTTATGCACTTTCAAAGTGTCATCTTAAAAAAATCATGTGTACTTCTAAGTAGACCCATATTCATCTTAATCCAATTGATTACTGTAATTATTTATAATACGCAGCAATGCAGATAAAAACTTAGTTAACTTACGCATTATACATGCCACTCATTATCAATGCAAAATATTACAAACGTAATTCTTCCGTTTACTTTTAAGCATCATTCATAAAGTATAATGGTGATGCAGCGAACAATTATTATTTTTATTCTTATATGAATTGTCGCAATGACGTAGTAGTGATTTTGAATTATATTTCTTGTAGACTTTTACACAATTACCCTCAATTTATTGCAACTGAAAATAATACGTTTAATTATAGATTTTTGGAGAGGTTGGCAGTAATAACCATTTGAGGAAAAAAATTGGTACACGCCATAAACTAATAGATACCAGAAAACTTAAGTGTTGTTAAAAAAATGAACATTTAGGGAGAGGTCTTCAAAATTCCAAAAGAGAAAATAATCGAAAGCAAATAATCAGTTGCTGCGGCATCAAAAATTCCTGCATATCTACCAAAAGACAATTGAATAAGACTTTACGCTCAACAACTTTGACACAGAAAAGTAAGTAAAAAGAAATAGCACTTGTATAAAGGCTTACAGAAACCCTAATCCACACACAAAAATGCTATGTAATTCCTTTTTTTTATCAATAAAAAATTTTAAGCAAAAAAAATTCGTTACGTAGCTACAACAAAAGCCACTGAAACATCTTTGACCAGCACTTCCAACACTGTCATCGATTCATCAGATATTTCGTCTTTTGAGGTAAGAATCTAGATTTTCGCACAAAATTTAACTTGTCATTTTTTACAAGCCAGAGACGATTTTCCTTTGTTAACTATTTGTATAATTATATTATCAAGGAATCCACAAATAATGAAAGGACAGAATCAATAAGCGAAGTAGTTTTTGATCCAAGCACTTCTGCCTTCACGTCCGAGATCAAAACCAGCGAGATAATGTCAAGGTAAAAAGAGCAAGTTTGATGTTATGACGGCTTGCTTGTTCATTTATCTCATTAACCGCAGTAGCCTACAAATCTTCACAAATGATAATTTATATTATTGGCCCTGGAGTGGTAAAATAAAGTCATTTTTCAATTCTAACAGAATTGCAAGTATCACGGCAAGTACGTCATCAACCAGTACCCCAGCTACTCCTACAGAATCTTTAATGACAACACAATCAAGTCCTACGTCAACAACTCACACATCACCAGTTCCTGTAATCACTATTACGATAATTACTGCTACTGATTCTACAACCTCAACAACCACCTCCACAACTTCAACAACGTCTACAACAAAAACTCCTACAACTTCATCAACAACGCCGACGACATCAACTCCTACAACAACAACGTCTACAACAACAATTCCTACAACTACAACAACTGCAATTCCAACCATGGAGGTCACAAATTCTGATTTTACTTTAATTATATTCAATAAATTGTGCTATTTTTAAGATAGGAATTAATCCTAGGAAGATGCGAGATGTCTGTTCCTAAAAACGCAATTATTTTAATTTACAAATATCCTTTTAATCCTCAACTTTTTTCCCCACAGTTGTCCCTGTTTGAATATGATGGTTCTCTTAAATGTATTATTCCAACATTTTTTATTTTTTTTTTTAATTTATTCTTGCATTCAAGGGCCAGATAAATACGGTTACTGGGAAGTTTCATGTGGCCGACTGTTTTTGTTTGGAAAATTTCTAGTAAGAATGATGATATCAAAAACAAAAATAATAATAGAAGTGAAGAGATTGGACTTTTCCTTGGTGCAAAGTTTTTTTTAAACAACAAACAACTTTTACTAAAAATGATCATATCCTTGAGTGTCAATATCTTCAAACAAAAAGTAGTAGCACAATAATTTTTTAGGTGCCTTGGAGAGAAAACTTGATTAAATGCCAACAAATCGGAATGGAAGCTATATATTTTGAAAGTCCTGGCCGGACAAATTGCTTCAAAAATATCAGTTCGAACCACACTAGCGTAATTTCCCCGACTAATTAATTTTTGAAAAGTTCCAAAATGGAAGTATGGCTCCAAGTATTGGACTTCCGGCCTTCGCGTCATAGCAGGTGGATTTTCGTGGTGTTCTGCAAATGCGTCAATTCCAATTGACGCAAGCAACCTGCCTTGGGCTTTGGGACAGCCGGACAACGCAAATAACAGTGAAAATTGCATGCGTCTGCGAGTGATCGCGAAAAATGCCTCAATTCAATTCTACGATCATAATTGCACACAAGAGTCGCTATTCGCGTGTCAGGTTAGAAAATTAACATTGTATAAAAATAAATCACGTTTCCTACCTTTGGCTCCAAGGGTCCAACAACTCCGGCGCCAGCTTGTATCACACCAATCTGTCCAAACGTAACCTGTGAACAAAATGTTGGTGATCTTTAATTAAATGATCCAAAATTTAATTGAAATTGTAATTAAAACTTTAGATGTCTTTTTATAAAAACCGATCAAACGAGTTGTATTTGATAAGTAATTTTATTTAATTCAAAAATTACTTTTATTATCAATCTTTTTTGAACAGATCCACGTGCGCATGGCTATTGGTTTACTTATCAGAGTAGAATGTACTTAATTAGCTACCCTAATGACACACAAACAGTAAGCTATGATTGAGAAGATTGCGGAATCAATTGAATCTCAAAATTGATATTTTTTTCTAAAATCTTCAGTTTCCCGAGGCAATCACAACTTGCTGCCAGTTTGGCATGTCTTTAATAAGTCTAGATTTTGGCTTCAAACTTCAGTCCATTCTGCAAAACATAATGAAAAGTATTCATTTTGTTAAATCATCTGATCATTTATCAATAATTAGTTTCCGTTGCTCTTAATGAAAATACAACTAATTTAATATATAATTTGGCTCAACCAGTAGGTGCAATACTTCGGGGCGAATACTTTTGGACGTCAGGGACCAATCGTGGATGCAATGGGAATTTCGGATTTTGTACAGTGCAGCGTCCTGTGAGGAGAGATGCGATTTGGGCGCCGGGACAACCAGACAACAAGACCGGAAATGAAAATTCTCTAGCCGTTTATATTAATTCCACCCACGTGCAATTGCTTGATTTTAATGAAGATAAAAAATTCAGATACATCTGTGAGGTAAATTATAAAACAATTGAAAAATTCATATATATATATTTAAGTATCATTTCCAATAGATCAGAGATAACTCAAATTCGAAGACGGGAGGATCACCTATTAAACAAGAATGTTCTCAAATTCACAATATGAATGATGGTAATACCTCGATATTTATTTAAACAACCTTAAATATTTTTCCTCTCTGAAGCTGAAATTGACAACTTGTTAAACAATACTGACAACATGGACTTAAAATCGAAGGTTGTTATAATTTTTGTTTAAGTGGCGTGAAGGTATTTTTAAATTTTCATCATATAGCGATTTGTGCGGTGTGTCGGGGAATACATGGGAATAGTAAACAACCTTTTCAGCGCAAAATTAAAAAAATAATCCTATAAATGCCAATTCCAATTTTCAAGTTGGTCGATGGGAAATTCATGGACAACAAGGTTATGGCAGTTTTAGAAACGATGGCTAATGACAGTGCAGCCGAATTCACAAAGAATATGGAAATCATGAACGAGTGTGAATCATCCACAGGTAAATGAATCGTTTTATTTTATAAGTAAGAATTCCGAGGATGTAAAGAAATAATACAGGTGGCATGAATGAGGATGATAAAGCTGCCCAAATATTGAAATGCAGCAACCAAAAGGCGCCTGGAATTTTGAAGAGTGTCATCAAAAGCATAGACCAGTCCATTCCAAAGGTATTTATTATTAATTTATTATTTTTGCAACTCTTGTATTGCATTATGCATTATGGTGTGATGTTGCAGATATAATTACTATTTTAACATTTAAGATTTTGCCAAAATATGTTAGCACTTTCAAAAACTGCAACATATAGAAGAAAAATATGCTAAATCTTGCCTAATTATTTAGGAGCGAGTACAGAATTATCCAGAGGCGTATTGCCCTCCTTACAACAACTGTACAGTTAATGTGAGTTAAAAATAGTAAAATCAGCATGATTGATATTTCAATTTGTAACAAAGACTACGATGTATAACGACTTCCTAGCTGCATCTTGTAATAAATCATTAATAAAAATATGGTGAGAGTGTAATCAAAATTTTTTAAATTCCAGACGGGACCTGGCTTTATGGATATGGCATTGTAACATCTGCATGCGGAAGGAAATGGATTGTGGTTCGCACAAATCCGGGGGTAATTTCCATTACGACTTTTTTATTGATTAATTAAACAAAATACATACATACGAGTGATTGCGAGTGATGAGTTGCCATAATCTCTCATTTTTTTTAAGTTTTATGTAATTATATTTTTTTTCGTGAATGTAAATAAGCCAATTGATAAATTTGCAATAATGTATTCGGAATGACTGCCTTGTTTTTTTTTTTTTTTTTTATTATAATCTTCAGTTTTTCATTTTTTGATATACCAAGTTGATTGGTCAATTGTCACTTATGTTGTAATTGCATTGTTTTTTTTCTTCTTTACTCTCTTGTTACTGTGTTACAAGCGAGTGTCGTAAAAGCAATAAATAACAATATTAATTATGATAATAAAAAAATGCATTGAAAAAAATAGCTTCCACTGATGTGGGGAAGAAAAATTTTAAAAAGTATTTTTAACAAAAACGATCAATTGGAATCATTGAATTCAAAGAAGGTTTAAAAGAAAATCAGAAATTGACTGTAAAATAAAAAAATTTCAGGTGAATCTGCCCCAGGCGTATCAAGCGTGCTGCGAGTTTGGCCTTAAATTAGCGTCCTTCTCTGAAAATGCAACGGAAACCTTCAATTGCGTTGCTGATTCAAGTAATTAGCTGGGATTTCTTAAAACGTTTTGATTGAATATTTTTATCAACACAGTTGGCTATGCCGGTCGCAATGTTTGGTTGGCGGTGAGTCGGTTAAACAGCATAAATAGACCTCGCTGGTGCTCCTCAGATGCTCCATTTTCAATTTATGACTATCCTGGCGCTCAGTCCATCACCACTAATGACCCGTCTAAGGACACAATTTACTTCAATTTTATGTTCAGAACCATCAGTGTGGCCAATCAATGGGACGGTGGGTGGAATGCACTGTGTCAAACTATTGACCCGTGATTATTGTTTTCTTGCTTGATTTACTGTTAAATTTGTATTGAATTATTATGCGCAGGTAAAATAAATTGCAATTTGAAGAAAATTTCAATATTTTTTCAATAACTATATCATTTTTATATAATTTATCTGCTTTGCAGGGGAAAATTTTAAAAGCTGATTAAAGGAAAAAAATGTTTAACAATTTTTTTTTGAACGCTCAAGTCAAGTGTAAGTGCGCGGCAGGTATATAAATCTGCTGGATGAATTAGACCCATCGTTTTGAGCATTGGCTGACCTCGCTGTATGGCTTTCACCATTTCACACAACTTTTTCAATTTTGTCTACTCTGGCTCCAAGATCATTCAGCAAAAAAAAAACACAAATATTTTCAAATTTTGGGGGTGAATTCAAGGCCGTATAAAGTAAGAAGTATTCAAGCCTCTATATTTTGCTTAAACCTTAAACTTTATAAATAAATTTTTTTTTTTTCAGTCAGAATGAGGAAAATTTACTATGAGCAGAAACGATTTTCAAAACTCAAATTTTCTGAACCAAAAATCTGCATGTTTATGTATAGCAAAAGATGTTAAGCATAAAATGTATAATTTAAAGATTTTCCCCATTTTTATTTCTGTTTAACATAAATGTATACTTTGACGTTTCACGTTCCTTAAGTTTATAATGTTCATCCATATAATGTAAATACAACTGAAATTTTCTAATTTTTAGATTCAGTATCGCATATTTAATCGAGGAAGATAGAAATGGCACAGAGTTTCATTGCAAAAATAAACTCTGGGGGAATTTTTGCAGTCGAGAAAGTAAAGTAGGGTGCGTGCCCGTTATGCTTGATATGAGAAATTCTCTGCGGATTATATTGCTGCAGCGCAGAAATGAGCTCGTTTCCCTTCACCAAAGTTTTTATCTTTTCTTTCCTCTCTGCACCCCGCGTGCGCTCCTGAACGAGAAGCATCCGACAGTGCGTGGAGCGGAGAAACTTGAGTCAATAAAGTTGCATTGTTTGCTTAGAATATCAATTGCCGAGCAAGGATTCTCTCTCTCTCTCTCTCGTTTTCCTGCCCTCTCGATCATTATTGCATTTTCCACGGTTGCGATCCCCGGCGTTTTCAATCCCCCGACTGTTGTTTGGGGCCAAAGAGCGAACCCAGGTATTGAAAGATAACATTGGGTCTCTTTTTTTCATTCTTCCTGGCTCGCTCGCGGCTTCACGCATCAAATCACCCTCGATCGAAAATAACCAAAATAACACAATATCCACCTCCGCACTTATACACCCCGACGTGTAATCATTTTTTTCCAATTTAATTTTGTGTCGGCTATTGCAGATCGAAAATTGGAAACATCCAATATTGAGAGATGCACCATCAGCAGCTTCTATAGTTACAATAGTTCATTGCTATGATAAAAAAAATACACAACTTTGGTTTTGCAAGAGTATTGAAAATTAACTTTTAAAACAAACTGGAGGACAAATGAATAAATTATTAAAAAGCAGGGCAAAAAGTAAAGAAAAACATCTTATATAATGCTTTGGCAGACGAATGCATCAATTATTAATAAACGAATAAATTAAGACTCGATAAACGTTGAAAAATGTAACTTAATTTTCAAAACTCCAGCTTGATATTTACGAGCTCAGAATTGAAATGCAGCATATTTGGCTGCCCCAGCGGAATTAATTTTCTCTTCCAATACATATTTCATCGAGCAACCGCAGCATCGTTGATCGCCACGTGCTGCAAATTTGTTAAATAGATTTCTCAAGCCATTCATCACGTCCGGTATAAAATTCCCATAATTTGTGACTTCATATAAATTTCAGCAGAAGTGCAGTTTATATCTGTGGGCTGCGTTTCGTCAACGCACAATGCGCGACATTAGAAGCAGCAGCCTGACGACCGCACAGAGTTTGTATGTCGGGTAATGAAAGAGAGCGAGCGAGAGGGCTGCAGACATGAAATAATAATGATAACGAGTGCAGAGAGTGCTCGGCGCACGTAATACAAAAGTGTGGATGTGACCCCTCGTTCCGCAGCAAATAAAAAGCAGCACGCTACATTTCAACATCCTCATTTAACTTTACAATGCTGGTGAGATGATTTCCGCTGACCTTTTATATATACGCGAGTGTATGCGCGATCAATGGGCTTTTCAGAGACGCGGGTTAAGTCGACGACAGCGAGCAAAAGAGGCCCCTAAAGCTTAAACCGACACACAAGTTACCATAAAATCAGGGTCTGAAAAAAATCGGGTATGATTCTTCAATCATTTTCTATCCTCGAATGATATATTTAATATTAAAAATGCATTTTGGTTAAAATTTATTTGCAATTTGCTTTTCCTTTTTAAACCTGTTTCTATCTTTTTGACCAATCAATCAGAGAAATTCAGTTTTAACAAATAATTTTGCTTCTTTATACAAGATTGAAATATATCTCAAAAGTAAATTCTTTTTACAGATTTAATTGACTTAAGATTTGTAAGTGATTAAGTTTAAAAAAAATAATCAATCTATAAAAACTTATTTGGTGCGGGATGTATAATTTTCACTTTCATTTTGAACGAAATCAGATTTTAATAAAAAATCTGCATTTAAAAAACGTCTTCAAACCCTGCTACTTGGACATGAAGTCAACCAAGATCTGAAATACAAAATTTTTTGCTCGTTCTCTATATTTGCAAAATAACTTTTTATTTAAGTAATTCCAAATTTACACACATATATAGTTGTTCAGTCAACTACGCGCGCAGAGAGCAAAAAGTCATATATGATGCTGACTCACTTCGTTGAGGCAAAAGTGAACAATCTTCATTCCGCGTCGACTGCTGATGCCGTCGGCAAAATATTTCCAGAGTAAATATTTGAGCGAGCCGCTGCCGCTGGAAAATTCGAGATGTAATTTCGTAATTTCAGTCCGAGTATATATTTGGCCAAGCGCGAGTGTAAATTGTGAAGAGCATCAGCAGGAGCAGTTAATTGACGCCGGGCTCGTCCGCCGGTCGGTGGCTTTTTCCTGCTTCGGAGATCAAAGGCGTTTTGGTGCGCAAACGCCCCAAAGTCGGTTCGGCACGATTTATAAATGCCCCACGACTTTGATTTATTCAGTGAAATATTTATCCAGACAGCAGGCGTTTATTTGAAGTCAGAAAGCCAAACACATTTTACGCCCAATAAAAACAGAAATCTTCAAGGGAAACGATGAAAAAATATTAAAGAGGTGCTCGGCAATTTACCTACTCAAGACATTTAATTTCATAAAATATAAGAGCGCAATCAAGAGATTCCACAAAATGGGTTTTTTGATTTAATAAATATTCTAAATTTTAATTAAAAGACAAAGAAGAAATGTAGATTTGTTATCAAACTTTTTTTTATGAAATTCTTGGCTTATTATACATATTTAGAAAATTTGCTAATATTAAGGTTTGGACCATAATGCAATAAAAATAAAATCAGCAGTATCCACCTGCAAAAACAAAGTATGTAAAATGGATTAATTAGAATTTCAGCTTTTTTCATATTTATTAAATGATTTCTAATTATTTGTTTTTTTGTTCCCTTGTTTGACAATGAATTGAAAACCGAATAAAAATGAGTAAAGATCAAAGTCAATTAATACGTTAATTTTGCTAAATAACCCATTTTGCCGGAATGAAATTTACAGTTTAATCAAAATTGTTCTGCTTGAGAAAAATGATGCTGATCTTGTTTTCGACCGAATCCTTGGCGCTGCACCCTTGACCTTGGGGTTCCATTAGCGGAGCACAATAGTGTCCATTCATCAGCCAGGGCTGTGATCCAGTGAATGCACGCGAGAGAGGATAAGAAGACGTGTCTGTATGCATGCCCGGAGCAGCACACAATGTGGCCCATCAGCGCGACAGGGTCAGTCGTCGCCGTCATTTCCCATAAGAGATGAAGAGAGGGTGTTTTCAAAAATTTAATTTCGTGACTCAGCAGCGCGCACACAACAAAGCAGGGCCTCTCGAATAACACACAGAGAGAGCCAACCAACCAACCATTGGTGCGTCTGACAAAGCGTTTATTTATACACAGAGCACCCGCCGAGCGAAATCTGCTGCTGTGAAATGAAAAGCTGCTGCTGGAAAAAAGGATTAATCCGACGGGAAAAATTCACGGTCCAAAACAGCCAGGCGGCCCTTTGGTCTGCGCAGCGCTAATGCGCGCCCTTCGCACACAAACACCGCGCTTTATTTCTTTTGGCCAAGTTCAAACTAAATAACTATACAGAAACAAACACATTTTTTAATTGATTTTTAAAGAAACAAATCTTAATGTAAAATTAATTTAATAGGAAGGAACAAAATAATACTAATTTTTAATATGATAATAAAAGCAGAACTGCCAAATTTAAATGTTATAATAATAATTATAAATCATTGAATTATCTAATTTTTCATTTTTTTTTAATTCCATTTTAATGCAAAAGACTAATTTCTTTTTCAGTAGCAGTTTAATAAAAATATTTTATAATTTAATTTTAATTATTCAATTCAACATTAAAATTGACTTCTTTTCACTTTAAATGTCACTTTTAATCGACTTTTTTATTGTGACTGTTCTTGATCTTAAACGTAACAAATCAACCCCTATTTCTCTCCCTCTCCTTTTTGGTGAGCACCGCACCTTTTAAACTGCCCATTTCCCGGGCCAGCTACATAGGAAATGCAGGAAGAGGACACGAGGGCCTGCGCTGGTTTTCAGTTCGGGAGTCGCTGCTTTTTACGGCCGCTGTAAGTTTGATAAAGGCACTTTTAAGTATGCACGGCGCAGTTATAATCTCTCTCGCCGGCCTGAGCCGCCGCCGGTTTATCAGCCGGCTATAGACTTAAATTTTATGGAGGCACTCGTGTAGCTGGCGAGCACTTAAAAGCAACCCTCGATGCCCCGCGCTCTTTCTCCGGCGCACAGCCAGGGGTAAAAAACGAAGAGCACGAGAGCATTTTATTATTATTCCGAGCACAGCATCTCCTTGAACAGCCCGGCTCTGATGTGCGTGATGCAACTACAATTTCATTAATTTTGTT